ACTAAATTAAAACTAAAAAATTAAAACTAAATATTACTAAATTAAATACCTATATACAACTAAAGATTAAAATTAATTATAAGAAAAAACAAAAACAACTATTTACATAAAGCGTCGAAAAATTCGTCCGCATCGACGTCAGTGGGGAAAGTACCCAGAAGGCTGGCAGCATTGCCACGTTGTATGGCAATGTTGAAATAAATGATAACAAAAAATATGCACGTTTAGTTTCACACTAAAAGGAGCACTTCAAATTTTAACCGAATCCGTAAAAATATGAATCCTTCGTAAAAACGTTATGTAAATGTAATTACACCGTTCTTTTATACTAGACGAGTAAACGTGCGTAATTTGTTTGGTAAATTAGTTCCTTTATGTATATTGCGTACACGTGTACAGTTTATTATAAAAATGAATATAGCCTTTTATTAAAGTACGGGATTTCCCTAACAATCTTTGTTACCTTTTTTATTATAACGAGCTTCGCCCACAAACGATTTTACGTAAAAAAGAAATGTTATATTTCCCGAAGGAGTAAGGAAAAGTAGATTTATAATAATATTTATACAAACTTTTTTATATTAAACTATATCTTCGATCATTAAATAGGGAATATGGGACTCGTCTGGAATGTTTTCCGGGAGTTTAAAAATTCAAAGTATATGAAAATTTAAAATCTAACCGTCAGTTAGGTAATAAAAATATTAGACATTGACTCGTTTTATCTAACTATTGTTTTCTTATACGACAATTTAAAAATAATTTGCTTACCATCAGGTGATCCGTCAGCGCGTTTACCGGCTTATGCCATAAAAAAAATAAGCAACGTGCTTAGTCACAGAGACGTCGCGCAGTCTACTGAGTATAGCTTTTGACAGTATTTACCGTATGTTTTTTTATTAATTGAGCTGCTTATATCGTAAGCCCCTAGTTTGCTGAATCTAGTCGATTTACCTCGTCTAATAAATACGTGAGCAAATTAATTAAACTATATCTATTTTAGTAAGGTTTGTAATTAGTACCTATAATGCTTCAAGCGTGACTTTGCATTATTCTCACATATACGTACAGTATTGGAATATGTATCAGAGATATTGTAGAACATACTTTTTTAAAAAGAGTAACGAATGGAGTTTCTTGCTCGTTCTTCTCCATTCGAATCTACATTTTGGAATGAGCACCTAGCTTCACCTAGCTTCACTGACGGACTGACTGACCGACTATTATTTATTTTGTATTTGTTGACGTTTCAAAAGTACCAAATTATGGTTTAATTGAAATAAATGCTTTGACTTTGACTTTGACTTTGAATGTTGTAGATTGTATTCAATTTTGTCCAATCAGAATTGACGCTAAGACCTCAGTTGCTCAATTTACTTCAGCTTCGAAGGTTTCAATTATGGACATTTAATTGAAACCACAGATTACAGGGTCTTACGTGATTTAGGGACCTTTGTTTTGATTAGATTGGACAGATGTCAGATCTACCTTATGAATGTTAAACCTTTTTCTTTTTATATACAACTAGCTTTTACCCGCGGCTTCGCTCGCGTCACAAAAGAATAAAAAGTAGCCTATGTATATACCAATACACACAGCGCCATCTATACCAATGCTTGTGTTTTTCCTCGGGAATATCAATTTTTTCCGGGTTAAAAAGTACCCTATTATTTAATCCGGACTTCTAACTTTACGTCTGCAAAAATTCAAAGCAATAGGTTGAGTAGTTACGGCGTGAAGGTGGAACAAACAAACAAACAAACTCACTTTCAGATTTATAATATTAGTAAGGATAAGGATTAAAAGTATCTTTATTTTGGTTTCTTTTATTCACTGGTTTTGTTGTAGTTAATTTTAAATTAAATATGACTTCAGGATCCTTAGCTACCTTATATCTTATTGTTTTTTTTTAACACTTGATAGGAATGTCAACATTTTTTCAATAATAACGGCAACCATTTAAATTTATCATCTACTGTAAAATGATGGCTATCCATCTATGTCTCCCTGGTATCTCAAGAGATGATATTCATCTTACTGACATGATGAGCCGACTGATCGTACCTTAGGGAGCTTTTTTTTTGAGGGGGGAAAATCATCCAATGACTTCCCGCCTGGGTGAGGCGGGAGGGAGTGTCAGACTCTTACTGACTAAAAACCACCCCGTTCCTACTCCTGCACTTCGAGCCGGAGCCCCGGCAACCCGTTAAGTCTTCCGCGGCTCCGTATCGGCATCAGCCTTGTTAGGCCCCATCTGTGGTGGTCTGATGGCTCCTTGAGTCGGCGAGTCACCCATGCTCGCCGTCCGCAGGCCCGTGGTACCTTAGGGAGCTGACGTGATTTATTATTTGTTAATAAAGTCTATCTAGATTGATTTTTTATTTACATTGGTGAATTTATGTGTATATTCGTTACTCAGACACGTCAATACGGCTGAAAAGATTGGGGTAAAATTTGGAACAGAGGTAGATTGTTGTTTGTATTAACACATAGGCTATTTATTATTCCACGGGAACGCGAGGAAAGCTGCTAGTAGAAGCTAGTATTTAATAATTAACGAAAAGTTATTACTGTACTATATATTTTACAAGTCTACAGTCACAGACTACAATCTTCCACAGTATATTAAATCGTTTTAATAGACTTTAAATATTTTACCGTAAAAGATTCATTTCTGAACGAATAATTAACACATAAATGAAAGAAAATCTTTTTATAATTTTGCACCTAACGCTTTAACATTCTGCACCACCCAATGGTCGACTGTCAGAAAATGCCTACGGCATTCATTCCGCCAATTTCACTGTTTGTACAATTAAGTTTAATAAATAAATAAATAGATAAAAACACACATAACACAACTAAAAAGTACAAAACATAAAAATAAAACATAATATAAAGCGAGGGTAAACCAAGGTATCATAGAAATAACAGAGATATACATATACATTTAAAATACCTAGGTACAAAGCTAAAGAAAAATGGAAATTGAGATAAATTTAAGCGACAACTACTACACGGACACACTATCAACCTGTGGACATTACTGTAACTGTAACATAACTAGGGAAATAAACAACTTTCTATTACTATTCTATTCATTAAGCGACTACTCCGTCCTCACCCAGGCGGGAGCAGTAATTCAATGATTTTCCCCCCTTAAAAAAAACGTGTTGTAGTATAGATAGATTTTGTAAGCCTTAAGGCATTAAGTCCGCTATTCACTGTATTTTGTGAAGAAGAAAATAAAATAAATAAATATTAAACTAGTTTTCCAACGGCTGATTTCGACATTCCATCTATAAAGACATATAACACAAATCAATAAAACACACATCTAAACACACATACAAATATAATATTGACTTAGGTCAAGAACGTAATCAATGCTAAACATCCAACTTTCTATTCCAAGGGTGGAGCTATTTCACCCTCCCCCCTCTTGTCCTACCCCCCATTTCCCTCCCTGTTTCGACCCGTCCCGATTCTAAAACAGGCGGCATCTTTTCTGACTCAATTTATAGATAGAAATGTTTAACTTTCACAGTATATTTGATATTAGTAGATGCCCGCGACCTCGTCCGCGTGGAATAGTGACTTTGGATTTTCTTCACAGCTCCTCTCCCGTAGATGATAGCGTGATTATATGTAGCCTATATGTTGACGTGACCTGTTTGTAGTATTCATGCAAAATTTGAAGTAAATCTATGCAGTACTTTTTGAGTTTAGCCCGGACATACATACAGACAAACAGACAAAAATTCTAATAACTATATTTTTGGTTTTGGTGTCGATTGTAGGTTATGCCCTAAGCATTCTTTTAAAAAAATATTATAACTAACCTCGTGTCTGTTGGAAGTTACGAGTATAATGTGTTTTATACCGGGAGCCGGTGTTTCAACATATAAAAGGCTATGTAGGTACAGTTTTGGCTGATTTTATTATATTATGTATAAATAGATTCTGTTATATTCTGGTCACGTGGCCACAATAAGGCCTATAAAAGTATTATTCAGTTTGTCGTTTTCGATACGTTTTATTATAAAGGGGTGGGTAGAATAATATAAATGACATTCACTTCTCACTTTACTATGTTTATTCACATTTTTCTAATAGAGGTTGTATTATTAACAAGATGAAATGAAAGACGATTTTGGAAAATGCAATATTAATAAATCGGTAGTTTAATTAACACGAGTCAATTTAAAATTAACTAAAAATCTTACTCACGGGTTACTTACGTAAATATAATGTTTCTCGGTCAGAAGTTAAGCATTGCCATACAACGTGGCAATGCTGCCAGACTTCTTTCCATTTCTAGGTACATTTAGCTAGGGTACACACGGCCACACATCAATCTATACAAAACCAGTTTATCCTGGTGTCGCGTCGCATCATCTTTCCGCACATTTAACGTTCAGTTTATACTGGTTACGTAAAGCTCGATGTGTAGCCGTGTGTACTTCCCTAATTGACGTCGATGCGGACGTATTTTTGATGCCCTTTATAAATAATACTTTTTTCTTTTATTTTTTTTTCCATTAGTTATAGTGTCTTTTAAGTAATAGTTAGTAATTATTTTATTTCAGTTTATACTTATTCATAAACAAAACATCACGCCTTTTATCCCCGAAGGGGTAGGCTAAGATGTACATTATGCCACTGTACAATGTTACACCTACTTTTCACTATTAACCATGTAATAGGGGGTGAGCCTATTGCCATATACCGGGCACAATTCCAGACTCCGTGCTACTACTGTGAATTTTTAAAAACCCAGTATTCTTTGTGCGAACGGGAATCGAACCCGAGACCCATTGACCGGCAGTCGCAGTTGCGACCATTCGGCCAACGACATAGTTTATATCGATTGTAAATAAAAGAATTTTTCATTAAACTGTCAAACACCGCGAGGACATCGGTGATCGCAACCTATTGTTCTATAATTGTGTCTATAATGACGGTACTCAAAGGTTTAAACATGAATATTTTGTCCTCAGAGGACGGAGGGCGCTGTCTGCCAGCTTTTGCGGGAAGAAAACTAGGCGAGATCTGCAACCGAGAGAACCAATGTGATGCTGGACTGGTGTGCGAGGAAGTTGTACCTGGTAAGTGGTATCATCACTACATAGTATAAAACAAAGTCGCTACCCGCCGCCTGTCTGTCCCTATGTATGCTTAGATCTTTAAAACTACGCAACGGATTTTGATGGGGTTTTTTCAATAGGTAGAGTGATTCTTAAGGAAGGTTTGTATGTAAAATACATGTGTGTAAGCAATGTGCACGGTCCACGGATTCCAGCAACACACATGTGCAGGATTCTTGGGTTTTTGGTGAATTGAGGACAGAATTTCAGTATAACACAGGATTATTATAATTTTGTTCACAATCAAAAAGTCTATCAATCGACGGTTATAAAATAATAACATAATCTATACAAAGAAATGAAATTGAAGTATCTGTTTGTATTATTAAAATAACCGCTTATACATACGATACACATACCATCTGTCTGTCTCTCTGTTTGTACTGGCTCTCTGAAATAGCTACACCAATTTTGACGACACTTTTACTGGCAGGTTGGCAGCTCCTGTACTAAGGAGTTACATAGACTACTTTTATTTTTGAAAAATGAAACAAAAAAGAACTGATGTCCTAACACTCATATCCTACGTGGAGTAAGTCGCAGGCCGGGCAGAAGAACTGATAGTTATAAATAATCATAGATTTAAAACCTTAAATTAATGAAAATTATGATCTTTTCCCTACCACATGAATCACAAACACTCTTTAAAGAAAAATGTGACTTATACTAATGAATTCACGGTCCTTATTTAGGCGAGATGCACGTCTGCCGACCCCCATCAGCTGGCCGCAAGCAATACAATGAGGACTGCAACTCTTCAAGCGAATGTGACGTCACTCGAGGACTGTGCTGCATCATGCAACGACGACACCGACAGAAGCCTAGGAAGGTAAGGAACTAGCTCATGTAGTGCAGAGATTGTCCAGTCAACAAGGATGTAGCGTAGACTGTCCAGGCGACACACGTACTCAGATATCGTCATGAGCTAATGTTCACATGTAAACAGCAGCTCATGTAGTGCAGAGATTGTCCAGCCAACAAGGATGTAGCGTAGACTGTCCAGACGACACACGTACTAAGGTATCATCATGAGCTAATGTTCACATGTAAACAGCAGCTCATGTAGTGCAGAGATTGTCCAGTCAACAAGGATGTAGCGTAGACTGTCCAGACGACACACGTACTTAGGTATCATCATGAGCTAATGTTCACATGTAAACAGCAGCTCATGTAGTGCAGAGATTGTCCAGTCAACAAGGATGTAGCGTAGACTGTCCAGGCGACACACGTACTTAGATTTTTATCTTATTTCATTCTCCCTTCAGACGTCATCCAATAACAAAGTCGTTTCTCTTCATTTTTCAGACAATCTATTCTTTTTTTTCTTTAGTCGTGTTCCTTTACATTCTTCGACACACGTAGGTGTCTCGAGGATTCTCCAGAAAATATGTTTACCAAAGTAAGAGACGGTAAACAAACTCGAAAAAAACATCATTTATGAAAACCTTTCTAAAAGAAAATACCTCGTTTATATTCTAAAAGTATATTCCTGAAACATTTCAGCTAAAACCTTTTCCGTTTATGTATAAACGTTGAATGAAAGAGATTTCTACGGTATTTACTTTTAAAGGAATATTTTTTGGGATTCCGTTTTGCACAAAAGGAGACTTAGCCCTATTATTAAGGTTCCTTTAGAATGTATCTTTTGAAGCAAAATAAGTAGCCAGGCGTTTTTATTTAAAGTACAAATAGACGATCAAACTGAACCGTCAATTTGGTTCGGCGGTCCAGTGGTATCCATTGAAAATATGCGGACGGACCGCTGTACACACTATCTAATAAGCAGCTGTAGCCAAATGCCATTTAGAATTTGTCTACATGTAGAATTTTTTAAGGGGGGAAAATCATTGAATTACTGCTCCCGCCTGGGTGAGGCGGGAGGGAGTGTCAGACTCTTACTGACTAAAAACCACCCCGTTCCTTCTCCTGCGCTTCGAGCCGGAGCCGACCCGGTAACCCGTTAAGTTCTCCGTGGCTCCGTATCGGCATCAGCCCTGTTGGGCCCCATCCGTGGTGGTCTGATGGCTCTTTGAGGCGCGCGCGCGTTACGCGACGCGCCATACGCTCGGGTCTGTTTCTGGTCGGCCGAGGAGCCACCAATGCTCGCCGTCGGTAGGCCCGCACTTACGGTGGCCGGAGATCATGTCTACATGTGGAATAGAAAACCAAATTATATGGAATTGACGTAAATTTTGACACTTGTCTGTGTCATCCCCATACATTTTGATTTCTACTCTCTCCGTAGACAAGCGCTAAAGTGGCGTTTGGCTAAAGGCCATGGTGCGGAGCGGACAAAGTGACGATTCGGTTCGATCGTCTATTTGTCCGTTTACTAGGGTCAGTGGATGTTCCAGTTCCGATTTTCATACTAAAGCCGAAAAAAGGATTAGAACTTTAAATCAATTGATTGATTGGAGTTCATAATTTTTCATTTTGTACGTAATAACACGGGATCTTAAACGCGATACGTTTAAATAGAGACTTGCAGATGTTTTTTAACACGCTTTCATTCGACATGTTACGAACAATGTAATAAAATGTAAGAATCGAAATTGGGATGATGACAGGGTATGAAAATTAAAAATATAATTAATTCCTAAGTTAGGAACCTAATGAAAAAATATTAGACACGTATTCTTTTATTTTGTCGTATAATAAAACAATACTTAGATAAAACGAATCAAAGTTTAGGAGTGGGGGCTAAAACGTCATTTCTACGTATAAAATTTACATAGAAGTGACGTCAATATATCTTCAAAACTATTCGTTTCTGTAAGAAAATAAAAAATACGTGTCTAATGATTTAAAATAATCTACCAGACGGACATTAAAATAAAAATTAGGCATCTACCCTATTACTAGAAATTGTCTGATCTGACATAACAACGACCCACAAAGAATTGTGTACAAAGAAAATAGACATCCATGTACACTCTATACAATACATTTTTAAAGCAAACCATTGTCACCACAAAAGCTTTGAATCAAGGAGCGAAAATCTTCTTTATTCTGCTTCAATTTAGGAAAATATAAGACAGAAATCTTGTGTAATATAAAGACTAGAATGGTAGGGTTTGTACTGATATAATTTCTTTGTTAACAAAACTAAGAACATGATTTTCAATTACATCTTTATGTCATAAAGGTAAATGGGCATATCACGCCTCTTATCGCCGAAGGGGTAAGCAGAGGTGCACATTATGCCACTGTACATTGTAACACCCACTATTCACTATTTATGTTAGGTATCAGTCCCATGTAATAGAGGGTGAGCCTATTGAGCAACAAAACTATGTTAAAAATATTTACTTAAACTGTCAAACACCAAGTGGTCACCGGTGACCGCAACCTATTGTTCTTTAATTGTGTCTATAAATACGGTACTCCACGAGTTAAAATTATTGTGAACCAAGGCTTAACATAAGGAAAAACATTTCTCTAAAGCTAAAAAGCACCAGAATTTCGTCCGCGCAGTAAATATTTTCGTTTAGCACTCGGCAACTCCTCTAAATGGTATTACGGGCCTGTTTTCACTCAACCTAACTGGATTTTATTAAGGAAAACGAAACATTTCTCTTTCTATCAAGTACAATGTCGTTTTTCCGGTTTTATTATTCACTTAAGAGTTCTTTAGAAATGTAATATTACGCCTTGAAAGTGCTAAAGTCAATGTATTTATTTTTATGGAATAGGACGGCAAACCAGCGGACGAATCTCCTAATGGTAAGCTATTAGGACGACCTATGGACACCAACAACTATAGTCTGTCTGCAGGACTATAGGACTGAGTATCCTCTACCGATGAGGAATGCCATAATCATTTATAAAGCGTGTTTTATATTGCAGCTTAAAACTTTCAGTAGGTTAATTAAAACCTAATTACTTAGTCCTTCGTCTTTCCGTGGTTATTTATTTTAATGTATAATAAAACAATACTAAGATAAAACGAATCAAAGTTTAGGATTGGGGGCTAAAACGTCATTTCTACGTATAAAATGTACATAGAAGTGACGTCATGCGACATTTCAAAACAATATATCGTCGAAAGTATTCGTTTCTGTAAGAAAATAAAAAATACGTGTCTAATGATTTAAAATAATCTACCAGAAGGACATTAAAATAAAATTTCGTCATCTACCCTGTTCACAAAAAGCATACTGATACAGTCAAAACCTCGTAGAAGTCTAGTACAATTATAATGAATTTGATGAACAATATTTTCTTTCAATCCTAACGACTGAGTTTTCCTCGGAAACTTGAGTCGACCTTATTATAAATATTTCACTTCTTTATATTTTTAGGGTTGCGTATGTACAAAAAAAGTGTTAAACGAATAATATTACCGATGCTATACAACTGTTTGTATTGTCAAATGAATATTAACAACAAAAATAAAAATATTGTAGCCTTAATTTCATTGAGAGTCGTCTGTGATTTTGACTGTCGAGGAATGGGTTTTAATTTCAGAGTAGACCAAAGTAACATTCAGTATATTTCGGTTTTCATAAATTACACAGTAATAGCCTAATCTTTTTTTTAAGCAATAAGCCGAAACGAACAGACATATCACCTGATGGTAAACAATCGGCGTCGCGCATGGATACCCGGAACACCAGAGGCGTTGCAAGTGCGTTATCGGTCTTTTGGGAATTCAGAATTTGAGGATTATAGGTGATTCGAGGATTGGGGAGACAGGGAAGGGGGGTGTTAAATGGGCCTCTGGTAACCTCAATCACACGTCATAACACAACACAAGCGTTATTTCACTATGGTTTTCTGCTCGGCCGTGGTATCACTTCGGTCGAGCCAGCCTATTCGTGCCGAAGCATGGCTCTCCCACACTTAAAAGTCTGGATTGTGCTTAGTATAAAATACTTTTTTTTATTTTATTTTATTTTATTTTATTCCCAGCAATATCCTTATAGACTAATCCAAATCAATATTGAGGCCTCTTATATCTAAATTACAAACTAAATTTTTAACTAACTAACCATAACAAATGCTTTGAAGTGCTACTTTAGTGAATTCACTCAGAGTTCAATAAAACATATCAACGTCTTATAAAATAACAATTTATATTATGTTTTCTAATAGATTTGAAGTCTTGGTATTATATTAATACTTTCCTCTTTTCAAATAATTCCAACATTTTCCCTGTTTTTTAAAGGTCACAGAATACTTCGCATTTAACTCTTACTTCAATTCACAAGACGTCTGCTATATTTCAGAGAACCAATTAGTAATTTTCAAGAAAGTTTTAACGATGAGTGTACTTATATTTTATATTACAATTCACAATATAATTCCAGTAAAAATATTTTTATAATTTTGTACTTATCTACGAGAGAAAAAGAGTGACTGCCTCGTTGGCCAAGTGGTCGCAACGCAAGTGCGACTGGTAGAAAAGGGATCTCGGGTTCGATTTCCAGGCAGTATTACTAGGTTTTTTTAATAAGTCCGTTAGTAGCATGTAGTATCGAATTGTGCCCGGTATATGGCAATAGGCTCACCCCTTATTACATGGGAGTCATAACATAAATAGTGAAAAGTGGGTGTTATATTCATCATCATCAACAGCCTATAAATGCCCACTGCTGAGCAAAGCCTCTTCTCACACGCAGAAGGTTCACGCTCACACGCACGTGCCATTAATCACCACGCTTGCTCAATGCAGGTTGGCGATTCCAAACTTATAATTAGAAATTATAAGCCTAGGTTTCCTCACGATATTTTCCTTCACCGTTTGTCAGTGGTGTCTAAATAATCTTAGAAAGTACATATAACTCGGAAAATGTCACATTGGTACTTGCCGTTGGTAGGTTTCGAACCGGCCATCCTCAACCTCCGGGCCATCACAACATGTTGTCTATATTATTATAATTTTAATAAATATTATTTGTCCCCAGAGCTGCGGATATTTCAAGGAACCCCTGGTCTGCATCGGTCCAGTGGCCACTGATCAGATTCGAGAGTTCGTCCAGCACACCGCCGGCGAAAAACGCATCGGCGTATACCGACTTCATTAATTTACCACACATTACGCCGTTGCGTAAAATTGTGAATTGTCAGCGGTAAAATTTTGAATTATTTATTTATTAGAATAATGAATATTGGCTGGACTTTCTTGATCATTTTTATTTATTTTTAAGATATTCAATGGTTGTTAAGTTGTTTTAAATGAAATGTTGATTAAACATTTTACAATTTTACGCAGCGGTAAAATAAAATGAATCGTTTTTACTAATAAAAATTAATGCAAAGCAAACACTTGTATGATTTGCAAGAAAAATAAATTACACAGTTATTACGTTTCAATATTTATTAGTAAAAAAGATTTTCAATCTTTTACGAGTTTCTCCATCGCTACGAACTGTTACTCGTCTATTAAGTAAAACTTATGAACAACAGATTTTGTAATTACGCTCAGAAAAATAATAATGAAATAAAACTTTTATCTTTTATTGCAATATTTATCTTTTATTTCATTTTTTAATTCCAGTAAAAAGATAAATGAATAACTTATCTATTTTAATGTTACCTTTCTGCGCGTAATTACGAAATAAAAGGAAAACGAAATGGAGAAAGACAAAAAACATGAAATTTCGCTTCGAAAAACGGTCAACCGATACGCTACGTTTTATTTGTAAAAAAGATGCTTTGAAAAAAAGATAAAAAAGAAAGATAGGCAAAGCTAAAACATATCATTTTTAGTTTTTAATTTTATTACGTAGAATTTAGTGGTACGAGAAAAATATTAATGTTTCTATATTAAAATACTTATGAATGTCATTTAAAATTAGTATTTACGGTGACTAGAGGTTGCGTCTCATAATTATTAAAAAAATACAATTTTAACGTGTTTAATCTCTTAATATTACGAATAGATTTAAAAAAATATAATTAATTATTAAGTCTTCAATGAAACAAATACATATCTTACTGGCTGAGGCATTTAGTAAATATTGATGTTAAAATTAATAAAAAATACTCTATTATTACATAATAATACATATCATAATCGTACGGATAGATATAATCTAGGTAAAGTAAGATATATTGTTTAATTTTTTCGCTTATATTCTAGACAAACTATAAAACTATGCTAGGTGCCTAGGAAATACATATCAATTATCAAATATAAAAATTTTCGTTTCTATATATAATTAAAAAGAATAATAAATCTAATTGTTATCACATTTTTATCGTATACTCACTTGATGTTTTCGATCCATTCGTTGGTTGATGTTTTTTCTTAAAAATACTTAAAGAAAAGATAAATCACATTTTATCTTTTTTACTAAAAAAAATTAAATTAAAAAATAGCCTAAATACTGTGATGTGTCGCCCCTATTTTACGAAAATTTATTGACGAAAGACAAAAAAAAAGATTTATGAATAATATATTTTATTGTCGAGATTTGATCTTTTTCTCTGAATAATAAATTTATGAATGTTAAAGATATTGAATATCTTCTTTATAGTTTTCAGTTAGGGCCTAACAATGCTATGTACTACCGTTGTTCTATCATAAGACTACATTATATGTACCTTGTGAATTAAATTAAATATGTGTTAAATTATAAATTATGTCTGCAATGTAGTTATTATTTCAATTTACACCTCCTTAACTTCCTGCATACGATTCCCTGTCTAAGTACCTACCTTAGTAAAAATATTGTATTAGTACCTGTGACTGTGTTACTGTCTCAGACAGGTAGAACAAGAGGTCTCAAAGGGGTTCAATTCCCGTATCGAGTGAAGTACTATTTGGGACTACATTAGTCTTTCTCTCTCGGTATACTTCAACAACAGCCTATAAATGATCTATGTTGAATAAACCCCCTTTGGCGTAGTGCGCCGTGTAATTTATAGGCAGACTTTTAAATAAAACTCGTGTATGTTCAATGGTAAAACTTATAATCGACTTCTCTGTCCAAAAGTGTAACGGCATAAAGTGTCACCAAGTTAATCATAAAACCATAGACGGTCAATGGCGACCATAAACAATATCAATATTCTCGTCTTAATATACTAAAATTGGGTCCCATACATATCTCTGATAGTGGGACGCCACACCCTCTTCTCACACTGAGAAGGTTTGAGCATTAACCACCACGCTTGCTCAATGCGGGTTGGCGATTTTAAACTTATAATTAGTATAAGCCCAGGTTTCCTCGCAATATTTTCTTCTGTCATTCAGTAGTGTTTAAATAAAAGTTCTATACAATATTCTTTACGAACAATTTATTTTAGAATACATTTGAAACTAATATGATCAGTTCCTAGGTGAGAATACGTGTTTTCTGGTACCGTAAGCGTTGGAGTCCCCATTTAAACGGGTTCGGTTGTCTATATGTGCCCCACAATTCCGGGTAATAATATTTAAATCTGTCTTCTATCTCGAACATTGGTATCTGCTTGTTTTCAACCAACTGAAAAGTAAATAAATGTGATTACAAACTATTTAAAACAATCTTTTATACAGCTACTAGCTACTTCCGCTCGGTTTCACACGCTCTGCTAAGCTCCTATTGGTCGTAGCGTGATGTTTTATAGCCTATAACCATCCTCGATAAATGCGTTATCCAACACAAAAATAATTATCAAAATCAGACTTGTAGTTACGGAGATTAATTTGTATTGTAGTTATTCAAACAAACAAACAAAAAAACAAACTTCCGCTTTATATGTTTACTAGCGGACCCAACAGACGTTGTCCTGCATATCCACTTGAATGTATAAACAAAAATTCATTCAAATTAGTTCAGCTGTTTAGGATAAATGACCTAAACATCGACTGCAGCGCCATCTGCCGGGCAGATTTGTGAATCTAAACCATTCCCAGATCCCCTTGAACACACACAAAAAAAAATCATCTAAATCGGTTCAGTCGTTTGAGAGAAGTTCAGTGACATACACACTCACAGAAGAATTATATATATAAAGGTGGGTTTATGGTCTTTTTTTATGAGATACTAGCGACACACCCCAGCTTCGCACGGGTGCAATATGCATGTATTATACATATAAACCTTCCTTAAGAATCACTCTATCTATTAAAACAAACCGCATCAAAATCCGGTGCGTAGTTTTAAAGATCTAAGCATATATAGGGACAGACAGACGATGGATAGCGACTTTGTTTTATACTATGTAGTGAAGATCTGATGGTAAGCAATCTTCGCCGCCCATGGACACACGTGCCCGGTATATGGCAATAGGCTCACCTCAATATTACATGGGATTCAAAATAAATAGTGAAATGTGGGTGTTACATTGTACAGTGCCATTAAGTGCCGTAATGTGCACCCCTGCCCACCTCTTCGGAGATAAAAGGCGTAATGTTATGTTGTGTTATTAATTTCGGCTCTTACGGAACAGTGGTATACAGTATAAGCATATTTTTTGTGGTTTTTTATTTACATATTTACAGGCCGTAAACGAGCAGACGGATCACCTGATGGTAAGCAATCGGCGTCGCAATGGACGCAGTGCAATGGACACCTGGAACACCAGAGGCGTTACAAGTGCGTTACCGGCCTTTTGGGGATTAGGAATTTGAGGATTTTTGGGAATTCAGGGGATTGGGAAGGATGGGAGCGGGGGGTAATTGGGCCTCCGGTACACTCACTCACACGATGAAACACAACGCAAGTATTGTTTTACATCGGTTTTCTGTTCGGCGGTGGTATTTTCCAGTCAAGCCGGTCCATTTATGCCGAAGCATGGCTCTCCCACACTTGATAAGAAGCTTAGCACTTAGAATTTTTGTCCAAATCGATTTAACTGTTCTTGAGTTAGGTATAAATAGTATAATGTACACGACTTTCTTTTATACCTCTATAGGTACACTGGGTGTAAACGCAAAGCTTTCGAAACGCTGACAAAAAGAAATTGTTCTACAATTTGGGTACTTGCCTTAATCAAAAGTAAATTATTTCGACTGTTCAATACAATAAAATGTTAACTAAAAATCGCGGGTTACTCACGTGAATATATTGAGAAAAGCTCTACTAGTTTCGAACCACAGAGGGGTTTTTCCTCATGAGCAGCGTGCGCGGTCGCGGCGCTGCTCATGAGGTGACAGTTCGAAAAAGGTATTGAATTTGAATAGTTGGTAAGTACCTACCCAAAGGACAATGTCCAAAATGGCCCCATCTAGGTAATAAAGAGTATCAGAATATACGATAATTAATCCCCTATTTTATTATGTATGTAAGTTGCAAATACTTCTGTATCACGGACTAGCTGTATTCCAAAATGTAAGTACTTTTAATAGAATTTAACGCGATTAATAAAATAAGACCGCCATCTTCGACTAATGTCAAATACGTTCGCCTAATGTAGTGAATAATAATCGTCATAATAGGTAGTAACAATAATATTATCCGATACTCTTGGCTCCGGGGCCAACAATGTATGGACGCAGAGCAATGTCCTTGAATCGTTTTTTTGTTTAATTTTGTGTTATTTGTGCAACATCAGCTTTGAGCAGTTGTTCAAAATTATTATTAGGTACAGGAAACATGTAATGCCTAAGTTTTATAAAATTTAAACTTGTTATTTACAACCACCTGTCGGCGTTTTTTGGGAATGTTCCTTTTACACCCTGTATAGATATGACTGCAAGGTTGGTGCGGTGGCTGGTCAACCGGCTGCCGTGCAACGTGTCGCGGGTTCGATTCCCGCACGGAACAACACTTTGTGTGATCCACAGATTGTTGTTACGGGTCTCGGTGTCATGTTTATGTGAACTTGAATGTTTGTAAACACACACACGACACAGGAGATAATCCTAGTGTGGGGCAACGTTTTTAAAAAAAAAAAGAATTCTACCCAAAAGCGAACTCTTAGAGCCTCATTACGGCTCACCCTTGACCATTTTCCTTTTTTTGTCTCGAAAAGTTATCTTTTTGTACTTACTTTATATCTTTCAAGTGTTTTTAAAGGAAACAAAATACGATTCGTTTTTCTTTTCGTAGGAAGTCATTATTTTTTTCGTTTGTAATTTATTTGGAAGAGGGTAGCAATGTTATGCGCGCTTCTTGTTCCAAAGGGATGGGCAAAGCTGTTTGACTGGCATTAATAATAAAACAATTCCTAATTTCCAAAAGGCCGGTAACGCACTTGTAACGCCTCTGGTGTTCCAGGTGTCCAGTAGTTCAGGGCGACGCCGATTGCTTACCATCAGGTGATCCGGCTAAAGGCCGCTTTGCCGGCTTACCCCATAAAAAATACATATATGTGATGGGACATCGTTTAGACACTATTTCGACTGGTAGAAAGCGATGATGCGGCCTACGATCATATTTCGGCTTTGAAAGCACCAGATTATACTATACCCTTTATCTATATTTCATTTACTTCATAGAGAGACACTTCTGAATGTTAACAAAAAATGAAAAGAACATAAACAAAACAAAATTAACATGCAAATTAAGACTTTGAGTTTGAGTTTGAGTTTGAAAGTGAAGCTATTTGCTCATTCCAAGGTGTAGATTCCTATGGAGAAGAACGAGCAAGAAACTCCATAGGTTACTCTTTTTCAATAAGGTTCACAATACAATTCTCTAGTTACATAGTTTTGTTGGTTCGATTGTGTGAGAACAATGTAACACCAAAATCCAGTCAAAGATATAGTTACCAACTTAAGTAATATCATAAACCTGAACATTGTAATTGCGATCTCAGGATCTCCAACCCAGAGGGGGCCCAGCAGGGCTGATGCCCGATACGAAGCCGCGGAAGGCCTAACGGGTTGCCGGGGCTCCGGATCCAAGACCAGGAGTAGAAGTGAGGTGGTTTTTAGTCAGTAAGAGTCTGACACTCCCTTTCGCCTGAACCCAAGGGGGGAGAAGTTGATGTCATATTTTAGTATAAGTGCTTCGTAACGTTTACGCCAAGTAAGTTTTAGATAAGACATGGTTTATGGGTGAAAACGGCCATATTTTCCTAGATTGCAAACTATCTAAAAAAGCTAGAGAAATTACATACCTCTAATAAAGCAAAAACAGTCAAAATAATACCAAATAACATCACAAATGAGTCCATTTTACTGCAAATGACTTACACAACAGCGCTCAAGTAACTCGTGATTAAAGTTTTATACCAAAAATAACCGATTTTGTTAAAAACCGTATGTGACTAATTCATTACTCTGTCACCAAAGAATTAAGGTTTAATTTCCAATTATATAACATCATGTATTTTACGTGTCGACCTTTGTTTTATAAGCATGTACATGTATCAATTTTATGTACTTCATATTAAGCAATTGTAGGTAAACAACAGAGCAGCTCATGTAGTGCAGAGATTGTCCAGTCAACAAGGATGTAGCGTAGACTGTCCAGGCGACACACGTACTTAGGTATCGTCATGAGCTAATGTTCACATGTAAACAGCAGCTCATGTAGTGCAGAGATTGTCCAGTCAACAAGGATGTAGCGTAGACTGTCCAGGCGACACACGTACTTAGGTATCGTCATGAGCTAATGTTCACATGTAAACAGCAGCTCATGTAGTGCAGAGATTGTCCAGTCAACAAGGATGTAGCGTAGACTGTCCAGGCGACACACGTACTTAGGTATCGTCATGAGCTAATGTTCACATGTAAACAGCAGCTCATGTAGTGCAGAGATTGTCCAGTCAACAAGGATGTAGTGTAGACTGTCCAGGCGACACACGTACTTAGGTATCGTCATGAGCTAATGTTCACATGAAAACAGCAGCTCATGTAGTGCAGAGATTGTCCAGTCAACAAGGATGTAGCGTAGACTGTCCAGGCGACACACGTACTTAGGTATCGTCATGAGCTAATGTTCACATGTAAACTGCAGCTCATGTAGTGCAGAGATTGTCCAGTCAACAAGGATGTAGCGTAGACTGTCCAGGCGACACACGTACTTAGGTATCGTCATGAGCTAATGTTCACATGTAAACAGCAGCTCATGTAGTGCAGAGATTGTCCAGTCAACAAGGATGTAGTGTAGACTGTCCAGGCGACACACGTACTTAGGTATCGTCATGAGCTAATGTTCACATGAAAACAGCAGCTCATGTAGTGCAGAGATTGTCCAGTCAACAAGGATGTAGCGTAGACTGTCCAGGCGACACACGTACTTAGGTATCGTCATGAGCTAATGTTCACATGTAAACTGCAGCTCATGTAGTGCAGAGATTGTCCAGTCAACAAGGATGTAGCGTAGACTGTCCAGGCGACACACGTACTTAGGTATCGTCATGAGCTAATGTTCACATGTAAACAGCAGCTCATGTAGTGCAGAGATTGTCCAGTCAACAAGGATGTAGCGTAGACTGTCCAGGCGACACACGTACTTAGGTATCGTCATGAGCTAATGTTCACATGTAAACAGCAGCTCATGTAGTGCAGAGAATGTCCACTCAACAAGGATGTAGCGTAGACTGTCCAGGCGACACACGTACTTAGGTATCGTCATGAGCTAATGTTCACATGTAAACAGCAGCTCATGTAGTGCAGAGATTGTCCAGTCAACAAGGATGTAGCGTAGACTGTCTAGGTGACGAGAAGGCTCCCTGAAATGATAATACAATTATGTTTAATGTAACGTAACCTTTGTAGCTACTAATAGCAGCATATAATAGACCTGATCTAGTTACCTCCCTATCGGGTCGTAAGCGCTAAGTTATGTTAATCGAATGTTAAAAAAAGTTAGAAATACAACAGGCAATGATACGGTAATTAAAATTGCATGGGAAGTACATTATTTGATTTCTGATAACATGAATGTATGAAAGCATGTAAGTTTGTTTAAGTGTGGGAGAGTCATGCTTCGGCACGAATGGGCCGGCTCGACCGGAGTGATACCACGGCCTCACAGAAAACTGACGTGAAGCAACTCTTGCGTTGTGTTTCGTCGTGTGAGTGAGGTTACCGGAGGCCCAATTACTCTCCCCTTCCCCAATGTCCCCAATTCCTGCTCAAACTCCTCATTCCCCAAAAAGCTGGTAACGCACTTGTAACGCCTGTGGTGTTCCAGATGTCCATGGGCGACGCCGATTGCTTACCATCAGGTGATTCGTCTGATCGTTTACCGGCTTATGCCATAAAAAAAAATGTGTGACTCGTACATTGGCTTAATTGACAGAGTAATACATTGTGCGATTATTGATTCACGGGGCTCTTTTTTTTGAGGAGCAAAAATCATTCAATGACTTCTCTGCCTTGGGTGAGGCGAGAGTGTCAGACTCTTACTGACTAAAAACCACCCCGTTCCTACTCCTGCTAATAACTTGATTTGATTTTCGTCTCAAGTTTCTTTCAGATTAATTTTCTTTAATTATATACAACATCACGCCTTTTATCCCGGAAAGGGTAGTCAGAGGTGCACATTACGGCACTTAACGCCACTGTGCTATGTAACACCCACTTTTCACTACTCATGTCGTTACTCCCATTCCCATGTAATGGGGGGTGGGCCTTTTGCCATATACCGGGCACAATTCCAGACTCCGTGCTACTACTGAGTATTTAAAAAAACCAGTAATACTTTGCCCGACTGGGGAATCGAACTTGAGACCCCTTGCCCGGCAGTCATATAAGAAAATAATAATAACTTTCCCCAGAGACGTCGATGCGGACGAATTTTTAGATGCTTTGTGTAAATAGTTATTTTTAGGTTTATTTATTTATTTTTTATCTTAAGTTGTATATTTAGTAATAGTTAGTATTTATTTTATTTAAGAAAATTATATATTTTTCTTCAATTTTATAAAACTAATAATGTTTTTTTTAAGGGGGAAAATCATCGAATGACTGCTCCCGCCTGCGTGAGGCGGGAGGGAGTGTCAGACTCTTGCTGACTAAAAACCACCCCGCCGGAGCCGGAGCCCCGGTTACCCGTTAGGTTCTCCGCGACAACTAATACTGTTAGACCAGCTACTAAACATAATAAAAGTTTCAGCCATTGACATTTTCAGACTGAAAATCCGCCATTTTGTATTCCACAAATAAACTGCATAAAAGCACCGATATATCGAACCGATACACTTATCACGCCAAAGTAAACTTTATTCTCTAAACTAGACAATCTATTTTACCGTAGCAGATAGGGAATAAATAATTCAGTCAAGCTAAGTTGGACTCTAGAGTTAGGACATAAAGTGTAGTTTAAATTTAATAGCGCTATGATTAGATTCATAGGGTTAGGAAGCGGTGACGTCAGCAGGACGATTAGTGATGTTCTTGTTGGGTTATCGATAAAACAGTAATGATTATAAAACATACATAGAGACATAACATCACGCCTTTTATCCCCGAGGGGGTAGGCAGAGGTGCACATTATGCCACTGTACAATGTATCACCCACTTTTCACTGTTTATGTTATGAGTCTCATGTAATAGGGGGTGAGCCTATTCCCATATACCGGGCACAATTTCAGACTCCGTGCTACTACTGAGATTTTTTTTAAAACCCAGTAGTACTTTGCCCGACCCGGGAATCGAACCCGAGACCCCTTGCCCGGCAGTCGTGCCGAAGCATGGCTCTCCCACACTTCTATTAAACACGTAATATTCAAGAAGGGCCAATTTAAAAGTACCCGTAACCGACGAGCATGCATGAAAAGATTGATGACTGTTGATGAAGCGAAAGAAGTATGTAAGAATCGTAGCAATTGGTGTTCCATAGTTTCTGTCTACCCCCATGGGAGACAGGCATGGAGTTATGTATGAAGTTATTTATGTACCTTTTGTCTGCTCAGCTTCGATCATTGAGATAGTCTCGTTAGATACCAACATGCACCTGTGTTATAATAATGTTTATGTAAATAAAAATAGCCTTGGCACTACTTTCATTTCAGGTCAAACTGTTGTATTTAAACAGCTTTATTAAATACACTTAGGTATAATTATTTTGAATTTCTAAATATAATTATAACCTCCATCGATAATATGTAGCCGCCATCCTAACGCTTACGGTATTTTTTTAAAGGGGGAAAGTCATCGAATGACTGCTCCCGTCTGGGTAAAGCGGGAGGGAGTGTCAGACTCTTCATCATCATCAACAGCCTATAAATGCCCACTGCTGAGCAAAGCCTCTTCTCACACGGAAAAGGTTAGAGCATTAATCACCACGCTTGCTCAATGCGGGTTGGCGATTTCAAACTTATAATTAGAAATTATAAGTTCAGGTTTCCTCACGATGTTTTCCTTCACCGTTTGTCAGTGGTGTCTAAATAATCTTAGAAAGTACATATAACTCGGAAAAAGTCACATTGGTACTTGCCGTTGGTAGGTTTCGAACCCGCACCCTCATGCATGAGAAGTGGGCGTCTTAAACCTCCGGGCCACCACGACCACCAGACACCAGACAGACGTCAGACTCTTACTGACTAAAAACCACCCCATTCCTTCTCCTGCACGTCGAGCCGGAGCCCCAGTAACCCGTTAGGTTCTCCGCGACAACGAATCGGCATCGGCCCTGTTGAGCCCCATCTGTGGTGGTCGGATGGCTCTTTGAGGCGAACGCTTACGGTATACCGTTTAATAACAATTACCACAGTAATTAGATAACTCGCTGCACTGCAAAGCTACACATTCGATTCTCACATAGAACAATAGGGATAATGGCAGGGTATGCAAATTAAAATTCTAATTAGTTCGTCAGTTAGGTAATGACAAATATTAGACACGTATTTTTTATTTTGTCGTATAAGAAAACAATACTTAGATTAAATGAATCAAAGTTTAGGAGTGGGAGGTAGCTACGTCATTTTAGAATATGAATCGTAATCAAAAGTGACGTCATGCAATATTTCAAATCAATATATCTTCGAACTTATTCGTTTCGCAGTTTTTTTTAAAAACAACTTTATTGTTTCAATTTTTCATAAAACCAGAAACCTTTTTTTTAAAACATCACTCCCTTTATTCCCGAAGGAGTAGGCAAAACATAGCATATTACGCCACACGTACATACATACATAACCAGAAACATCAACCAATAAATTATCGATATCGACATTACAAGACCACGTCCCATCACTAGAACGCAATATTACCAGCGCATCTGCAGTGCGCCAATGCAATCAATGCAGCTATCCCGGGCCCCGGGACTGAGGACGTCACTACCCTGTGGGAGGGGGAGGGGGGTAGAAAAAGGTGGGGAAGGGTAGGATATTGCATTAATTGTGCACGTCCGTGATGT